GCCCTTGGAGCTCGGTGGTGCTGAGGGTCCCTGAGTGCCCCTTGGAGCTGAGGGGTGCTGGGTGGTCGTGGGGGGTCCCTGAGTGCCCTTTGGAGCTGAGGGGTGGGGGGGTGGGGGTCCCTTGGGCACTGAGGGTTCCTGGGTACCCCTTGGAGCTGGGGGGTCCTGGGGGTCCCTGGGTACCTCTTGGAGCTGGGGGTGCTGGGCAGTCTCCAGGAACCCCTTGGAGCTGAGGGGTGCTGGGGGTCCCTGGATGACCCTTGGCGCTGGGAAGGCTGGGGGTCTTTGGGTGCCCCTGAGTGCTGGGGGTCCCTTGGGGTGCTGCAGGTTGCCGGGGGTCCCTGGTACCCCTTGGAGCTGAGGGGTACTGGGGGGACCCCTTGGGTGCTAGGGGGTCCTGGGTACCTTATGGAGCTGGGGGGTTCCTTGGGTGCTGCAGGTTGCTGGGGGTCCGCGGGTGCCCCATGGAGCTGAGGGGTGCTGGGGGTCCCTGGGTGCACCCTGGAGCTGAGGGGTGCTGGGGAGTGCTGGGAGTCTCCAGGAACCCCTTGGAGCTGGGGGCTGCTGGAGGTGTGGTCCCTTGGGTGCTGCAGTGTGCTGGGTGTCCATGGGTGCCCCCCTGGAGCTGGGGTTCCCTGTGGGCTGCTGGGTGCAAGGGGTGCTAGATCTCCCTCAAGGTCACAGGTCACTGGGTACCCCCAGGCACTGGGTGCCAGGGCCCCCTGGGTGCCACCGTCCCCCTGATGCAGGGCCAGGGGGTGGCTATGGCCCCCCAGCTGCTGAGCCAGCACCCCTGCAGGGGCCCAGCCCCGAGCAATGTCCCAGCTCCCTTCCTAGGGGTCCCACTGCTGCCCTCACCCCCCACACCCAGGGGATGCTGCTGAGCCCCCGGGTGATGCCAGCCCACCCCCTGTCCCTCTCCCACCCCCGGGGACCCCCCCAGCCCTCACACAGAGGCGAAGTACCCATGCCCACCCCCGGGTCACGGAGGGGGGTTGGTATATACTTTTTCCCCTCTTTTTTTTTTTCCTTTCTACATTTTATTATTTCAAACCCTGTGAACAATTCGGTAAAACATCCTGTGGGAAAAGCGAGGGCACGGGCACCAGCTGAGGGGACCCCCCCCCACCTCGGGCTGGTGGGGGGGGCAGCGGGGGCCACTCTGTA